TAAAGCAACCATTAAGAGAGTGCCGCATAGGGTCATTTTGCTGCGTGTGTGCGCGGACTCATCATTCCCGTGTGGTGATAGACCAAGTTTTCGTGCATTGCAGTGCAAACGGTACATGGTGCGGTGAGACAAACGCAGACACGGCATCCCACATAAAGCTTGCAGCGCTCACACCCGCGGTGGTGTTCGGTGCACACAGTTTAGCGAGGCCTGGGGTTGTTTCACGACGTAACCTCTACGAAGATGAAGAAAACTGATAGCAACAAAAAGGCAAAACAAGCAAACAAGACCACATACTATGTGCAAAAATTGCAATTATGTGTTAGTTCCCATGTTTCACAAGTCCTGCATGACATCTTTCCATTTTGTGACAACAAGTGCATTGCACATAACTTAGGGAATCTCATGTTTTTTTGTTTCTTTTTTAAAATGGGGACCAGGGGTCCACCACAGCTCTGCTGACGTACTTCTGTCACGGATATGACACTGTAAAATAGATACTAACGGATTGCTAAAAAAGAAATGAAAAAAAAAGTTCTGTCGCAAGATGTCGGATCAGTGAGTGCTCTGCAGCGCATGGCGCTAACCACTAGGCAACGAAGCATACGCTGTCAAAATTGCTATTGACAAGCGATTTATACACACAATATACTGTTTGGCGATCCTCCAAGCTCCGTAACTTCAGTGCGTATTTGTCATCAGTAGCGAGATGTCGCGAAAAGCTCACATTGGTTGCGCTCTGAAAGTCGTCACCTCTTGCATTTCAATAAGTGCGGGCCTCCAGAGAGTATCGTCCCTGCTGGGTGCACATTTATCAGACTCGTGATTTGGGAGAGCACGAAGGTCGCTTCCCTCGCTGTCGCAGCGCGTTTATGAAAGAGGCACGCTGTTTGCACATGAAGAATTAAGAATTGAGACAGTTGTTCACACTTGCCTAGTGTATACTTGTGCATTTGTTTTGTGCGCCTTTCTGTTTGAACAGTGCGCTTTAAGCGCCGGACTGTGACAATTTTAGTCCGCGCTCGTTCTGTGTATGCTCGTTTGGTGCATACTTTCTGCTTGAGGTACGCACTGCAAATTTTGAGCTTTACAATTTGTGTGACTTTACAATTTGTTGCTGTAGCATTTGTGTCTTTCCCCTTGTGACAGAATAATGCACAGTAAACGCTCAATTACCTTTGTGGAGACACGTCTCACTTTCGAGTTATTATCATTCTTAGAAATAAGGATCACCTACGTTTTCATTTGAAGTGTTTATGTACATCAATGATTATCAGCTGAATGTGTTTTAGCCTGGTTTTAGGACACCTGCTAATAAGTTATCGTGCGTCTACAAATTTGACCCACAGGGAAGACACCAAGAAAGACAAGTCTGAGCACATGCACTTTCTGTTCATGTACCATGACATTACAAGCTCAGCATTACGTACGGCTGCAGGCAATCACCACTAAAACCAACAGCCACAACAATGAGCTGAAGGACGGAGTCACATCGAGAAGGAGCTGAGGGAGGACACTGCCTGAGCTGATCTTCTCGAGTAGAGATGTCTATTCCCTCTCTCGATTGTACCTAGATGGAAGATGTGACTGCAGTAGCTTACCCATGGCTTCAGACTGAAGCTTCATGGGGCTTTCAGTGAACAATAAGTGCTGACTTGCTGTCTGCCAAAACTACTACAGCATTATGAGGCAGTGAAGAATTACTTCATCACATGGAGATTTTTGACATAGTTATCAACCGGTATAGATGAAGCCCATGTTCAGCAGTAGTGCAATGCTATAGTCCCCGTGGTGTGTGAACTATTTCTCACACATTTGAGGGTATCCACTAATTCTGCCAAAAAATCTTTTAATCGTGCGCCACATCAGAAAATAGACATTCTTTCGATCCCATCATTTCTTAGGTAAAGATTGAAAGAATGCTGTATTTATTCGAATCTAGGCCGATAGTTTTTTTTTTTTTTTTTTTCAAATTTCTTTGTATCAAACTCCAGGGCCGGCTTAGATAGAATGATTTTAAAAAACGCGCCATTTTCATAAAGAAAAGTGGCCTACAACTAGCGCCACTTAGATGGTATTATAGCTGTTAGTAGCCAAGCCAACACCTGACTTAAGTACACATGTGAGGCCGGAATTTCTATCTTTGTGGCAAGTGTTGAAGCGTGCTGTTTGTCATTTGAAGTTGCGCTTTGAGTGGTTTGTGTGTGGCGTGCCTCACTGGTGCCAAACAAGCAGTGTCATTACAGTGCCGCTTATGAAAGAAAAGTTGTCCTAGCTGTATTCCTAGTTGCTTAATCCGGGTATGACTTCAAGTGGATGAAAAAAATGTGCTTTGCTGGAGGGGCTGCAGCGTGAGACAAAACCCGGGAACTTCGATTTTGTGCTCTTTCAAGAAGTGCGGCATATTTAATGCACTTTATGGCACCGAGGATTGCGCATTGTTTGAAGACAGCGACAAAGAATTCTGCGACGAGAGAAGCAGCGACAACAACTTGGAATGAATGAGGCATCGGCAAGCATGGCATTTTTATGATGCAAATAACTAGAAGCAGCACGTAAAAACGACGACAAAGAAATACACACAACAGGAATAGTGGCTGTATGTTTCTTGAGTTATTTGCATCATGAACTAACTGCTTTGTTTCGTCTTCATAAATAAATGTTTTCTTTTTCTGAATGCTGTCCTTGCTGTTTGGTTCGGCCTACACCTAGAGGTAAGATTTATTTTTCCGGGCTTTGGACATTTGGGTGTCGGCTTAGAATCAGGGTCAGCCTAGATTTGAGCAGCTTTTCTTCTTATGAAAAGGGAGACCTACTAGAAGGCGCTGGAGAGGACAAGCCACTGTTCAAAGGTTTTACCACAATGGTATCATTTGGGTGTTGCGTGAGCAACTATATTTTAGTGTGCTGAATTTCTTGTGAAGTACTACATTCAGCACTTCGTAAGTAGCTGGTCGGCCACATCTCTAGGGTGTTCTCTAAATTTTTTAACCAAGCCACCCTGGCTTGTGTATGAAAAAGGCTGGCAAGCATCAGAATGTCATCCAAACTACAATTGATGAAAAGAAGGCATTGTCACTGTGGCTGTCCCTGAAGCTACTATGGCAACAGCGAAATATATTCTAGCAGCAGTGCTTAAGTGCTGCAGCTAACTTACACTACTTTATGGCCATGTTGGCGTTGCGTGGAGAGCTGTGGTGAAATACACCTCCCTTGTGGTGACTGGCAAAACGAGGATGGGTGCAACTATGAGCTGCACAAACAAACTGTGCAACTGCACATGCAATTTGATAATATATACAAGATTCAATCATACTGGCAGCCACAAAGAAAGTTTTCATAGATAAAGGCATCGAATACTTAGGTAGTAAAAAATAGTCACTAGAAGAAGTGTACAGGGCTTTATTCAAACTCAAAATTATTTCTATTTTGTACGATCTCACAGATGGAGGACAACGAAAAAAAAGCTGCCAAGAGGCGGCTTGACTAGTCCGTAGCCCCAAATTATCTATGGTATGTGAGCACAAAAAAAAAAAAAAAAAAAAAGAAAAAAAGAAAACATATAATTAGTGCAGAATAAAAGCAATATGTAATAGCCTGCAATAAAGCATACAAGAATACAATGCCAAGATCAATAAAATTAGCTTTCTTACACAAACATAGATCTAAGTGCAGCTGAGGAGCAACAAAACAAATCAAAATCGATTTACTGAAGATGGTTTAACAATGATGGTAAAGAATAACATAAACGCTCTGTAGCAGTATTCAAATGGGGTGTGACAACTTTGCTCTTTGTGTCTTGTTTTATAGTAGTGGTCATTTTTTTCCAAATGTGCTAGGGTGTCTAAATTATGTATGTTACGTCTTACTTCATAATTATATCTAGAACTCAGCCGATAATAGTATAATTTGTGAGTAGTTATATTACCAGTTTTATGACAAAAGCTTATAGTTGTATTATATTCACCATTATAAACATTTCATAGATATCGTTTCTGCATAATGTAAAGTTTTTGTAAATTAGAGAATGAAGTAGTGCCCCAGACATGTTGACAGTAGTTGAGATGTGAATAGAAAAGAGACCTGTAAACTAGGATTTTAATTTTTGGAGAAAGAATATATTTGGGCCGACTGACTATTCCAGTTATTCGAGCTAATTTTGTCAGCACTGAGTTCACGCAAGTTTCCCAAGACATGTGCGCACTAAATACAACACCAAGGCACCTAAATGTGGTCGAATGTATCAACATAGCAGGAATTGAAAATTATGTCTGCATGAGGCTCTCAGAGATTGGCTTATTCTTGGCTCAAAATATAACCACATTTTATTTTCATTAATCTTCATGGAATTGAATAAAGACCACTATTGTAGTTTGATTAAGGTGTCAATACAATTCGATATGAGATAGTTGATGCTATTTCCAGAAAAAAATATGGTTGTATCATTTGCATATATGATAAACATGGCATTATTATTATTGTTAATGATGTCCTTAATGTAAAGGTGCAAAGGTCCCAGAATGCTGCCCTGTGGAACACCACAAAGCAGTGGCAGAATTTGGGATCGCGAGTTATTTATTTGGACAACTTGTTGCCGATAAGAGAGGTATGACCGCAGCAAATTCAACCCCCAACCACGAACACCATAAATATCTAACTTTCTTAACAAGACCTCATGATTCACCAAGTCAAAAGCCTTGGAAAAATCAACAAATAAACCAATTGGTATTTTTTTGCTTTCAAATTCCTGTAAAATATTATCTTTCTGGTGAAGCAATGCTAATTCTGTTGATCTGTTCTTCCGGAACATAGCATGAACAATTAAAAAAATGACAATGAATGTTCCGAGATGTACAAGGCGAAGAATGGGGTGCAGCCCACATAAGAATAGCCTTTCCCTCAAGCTGAAACTCGATGACTATATAGCGGAACCTAGTTTGTCGTGCCCACACAAGTTAGGCCGCAACAGTTAGATCAGCTGAGGGCAAATATCGGAGTACCTGGCCTTCAAGCGAGACTCGGATGCTGCTGCATTTGTGGGTGGTCGAACTACAAGGTACAGCTCGACAGGCCGGCTGCTGCCCGATTCAGTGGTCGCACTGAGCGAGAGAAAGCTGGCCCCAAGGTGGCGGCTCTTCTCGAGGGGTCCCCCGTGCGCCGAGTGGCGTCGGACGCGAGCATACCGCGTGCCAGTGTCTCGGCTGTACTCGGTCGGCGCTACCAGCGACATTCTCTCAGCTGTCGGTCCCTCTCTCTTGGAGTGAATGCGCGGAAAGCTGCTACGAGTGGGCCTTAATGGCAGAGTTAGTTAAGGTGGAACAAAGCAGGAGGAGGACAGGGGCAGAGAGAGAGAGAGAGAGAAACAGTTTGGGCTAGCACACAGACAGCCTCTTCGTAACACAATAAACAAGCTTCAGAAAAACATACTTGGCCCGCTTTATGAATGATCAAAGTAAGCGCAGCCTGAACAAAACTGAGACAAAAAAGTTACATCGCATTATGTCCAGTTTTGTTCATGATGCATTCACTTCGTTCAGGAACTGCCATCTTGAAGGGACACTACGAGCAAAACTATTTTTCATGTATTAGTAAAGTACAATTTCACAATCCCCAAAACGCCACTCATACAGCAACTGAGCTACCATGGCGATCGGCCCTCCGATAATTTTGTAGTGGATATACATGCATTTAAAGTGAGAGCCTCAGTCAGCACCACCTGTTGCCATTGCAGCAAGTGTGGCATAGTCTTTATGAGCCAGTTTGGCATCACGTAGTACGTGATTTTATTAAGAGATGGTAGCTGACCTCTTGCATACCACCTGAAGGCATCAAGTCTGTCAAAAGGAGGTCTTCACTATGAAAGAAGGAAAGTGTAAGTTTAAGGGCTCGTTTTCTTTGTTTAGACACAATATTAATGAGAACTAATAGACAATAATGACACGGAGAGTACAGAGGGTGTCATTAAAAGCAATTGTAATGTACACGTGAAAAAAGAAAAGTGGACAAAAAGATAACTTGCCAACAGCAGGATCCGAACCTGTGACCTTTGAATAAAGTGTCATCTTTATATAGTGAGAGGTAGAGAAAGACTTATCGAGAGTATTGAGAAGGCAATAAACGAACCTCATTCCATAAAAAAAAACTCTATGCGTGCGTGTACCTCCCAAACTTATTTTGCACAAGAGCCGCGCAAATGCCGTAATTTTCGTCATTCTTCATGCTCAATGCAACCAGCGTGGCTAAAGATCCTGAGTTTTAAGCTTTTAAGCCAAGTTGTTTAAAAGATACCCAAGCCAGCTCAGGGCCGGGGGGAGGCAGATAATTATACTAGCCTTCAGTATACTCAGAAAGTTCACTGCTTGGTTCTACAAGTGTGTAAATACATGACACACAATGTTTCGTAATGTTTACATATTTCCTTGTAAAGGAGTACCAGTATCTTAAAAAAGCTTTTTTTTTCTAATTTCTTGAACAAATTCAATTCAATAAAACTTGCCAATTTAATCTTTACATTCAACTATTTTTTTTTGCACAATACGTATTTCAGAAAGATGGGCCACTGGGTGACTTGGTAAGGCACTTTCAATTGGCCAAGGAAGGCATGACACATGTTATATCTATACAGTTTTAACTGCTCTGCGGCACAAATCTGGAGAAAGCAAAGTGAAGAGACAACTGGCAGAAACGAAACCATTAAGAAACTTTACCAACTGAGCTGCAGTGGTAGTCGTCTACTGCATTTAGGAATTTACATGCATGCCTAACTGGAAATGTTTGTGAGCATTGCTCAATGCCATGATGGTGAGTGTTTTTTGCTGCCAGTTGATGTCTCGTAGCATGTGATCTTTGAAACGAGCTGGCAGCTGGCCAAAAAACCCTTGCTACTACCCACAGGTCTGCGGGACCTTTGCTACGAAGGAACAAAAAAAGGGAATTCTTAAGGGCTTGTTTTCTTATTGGACCCAATCTTGATGTAAACCTAGAGAGTATAGAGGCGACGTAATTTTTATTTTTTTTTGACCGCACTATAGTACTAATCATGAAATAAGTTCTCTTCTCTTGGGTCTCCAGCGCTTACCAACAAAATTTGTTGTAGACATCAAAATTACTTTTTTTGCTTTAAGCAAAATTAACAACAAAAATTTTCCCATCACAAGAGAATATGTTGGAACATAGAATGAGCCCTTTGATATATTTCAATTGCAATGGCCTTGATCCTTAATTTAAATGTGAATATCCCATGAAAGTAATTTTTTGTCAATTTTGCAAGCATTTTTCTCAATAAATATTACTTTAGATAGGTTGAAAACACTTTTAGCAGATAGATAGGTTGAAAACACTTTTAGCAGATACTATGTTGATTTGGAAGACAGCTAAAAAATTTTTGCTACCGAAAGGTTGCCGCTGTTTTTACAAAAAATGTCCAAACAAGCACAATTTCTCGTTTCTTTGCTGGGCCTATTTAAGCCAGGAAATTAATATACGATTTTTCTTGACATGTCACCTCAAATAATAATGACAATAAAATGCCTCAAAACATTATGTGCCGTTGTACCCACCTAACTTTTCCTCCTATCCAAAACGTTGAAATGGCAGTTACATGACCACCAATTACTTTCAAACACAAATACTTAAGTAAAATCACTCTCATACCACTACTTTACAGTTGAACTTTTTTCCCGCAGAATCACCAGTGGTCGAATTTCGGGCTACAATGTTTCACTTGGGAATGACCCTTTGTAATGCTCACAAGTGCTTGATACTATAGACTAGTAACCTGCGGCGGTTATCACTTTTTAAGGATATTTTTTCCGGCAATTGGCCTAATACCTTAATCCAATGAGGTTGCATGGTTCGGTCTCTGCTGCTTGTCTTTTCATCCACTTTGCTTTCTTCACATTTACCGCACAATAGTCCTTATGCAAAATTGCCTGGCAACAGTGAGCCGGGTGTCTTGATTCGCCATCTTGATTAGTTCAAGAAGTTGCTGCATTCTCATGAAATCGCATCAGTTGTTGCAGAGTCTTAGCGTCGAATGTTGCATGTTGCCGCTCTAATTCATCTGCTTGTGATTGTCGTGCTATAAAAAATGGCACAATGGCAACACTTTCAAATTGCTGGTGTCGTAATATGAAAAAACGATTTGTAAGTTTTGTAGCACGTCAGTCAATATTCAGCCCACCTAGCACATAGACGTCTTCTTGCCCACTGACCAAAAGTCGCAGAGCCTAGCCCCTCACCATCGTTGGCAGCTCCCCTCTGATTTGAAGTACTATCGGCGTTGAATGAAATGCGGACGTGCACGCACATAATTTGACAGCACTACGCACCTCTCCATGTTGACGACTGGATAGCATAGTTTGACAGCACTGTGCATCTGTCCATGTTGGCGACTGAATAGCGTGCAATATGCCACTGAGAATGCTTGCCACTGTTGGCGTTTCATTTGACACTGATAGCATGTGAGAAATATATAGTATAGCGCGTCAATACTGCACAACATGAACATTGGCCGCCGCAAGCTGTAGTGTGGCGTTGCAGTTGTTCCGTCTATGCACATTCAGAACGCAATAAAGAAAGTAAATGTAAACGTAACATATTATGTGAAACGTCATCGTTCATTTGCATGAATATTAAACTCTGATCGTTCCATTTACATATATTTCCATACCCCTATGGAGTGGATTGATGAACGAACAAATAGAGCTCGATGGCAATCGTGCTCCGTGCTGCAGCAGTGTCAGTGTGCTAATAATCTTGCTCACTTATTCCATGCAAGAGTGGAATTAGCCAGCACAACATTATACACTCTAATTTTTGCCCGTTTTCTTTTTCTTGCTTGTTAATGCCATCAAATTTAATATTAAATGGCTTCGTGGAGAGCCGCCATGAGTCTCACCCTAAGAGGCAACTCAATAGATTTACAAATCCGGGTTGCAAATCCTGGTAATAAATTGTGTTGCGCAGGTTTGAAGCACCAGAAAAAAAAAAAAAAAGGTGACAGCGTCATACCAATCACGCTATCAAATGCAATTTCGGTGCAAGCTGTACATGCTACAGCACATATTTCTTACAAATTTGTCATACATAAAAAGGAATTATGCCTACACATTGATAATCGCTAGGTGGTTGATCTCTCTGACCAGCTTTTGCATAAGCCAAGATGATTTGGTCCAAACATCAATGAAAGATTTGTTGCATAACATCAAATAAACAAACCTTGTTGTTTCCTTCACTGTCAGTCATTCATTGCAAAAGAGAACACAGGAGTGTTGTGATATCTTAATTATCATAAATAAAATAAAAAATAATGGGCATTCGCTGCTTCATTTATGACAGAGCCTGCAAAAACATGAGCTTCGTGCGTACACGCATGGTGTCGTGTGCTTAGCCTGAAATAACCAAGATGGCACCAGTGATTGCTACAGCGGCCCTGCTAATTTCGCATAAGGTCTGTGGCTACAATATATCTGGTATACCCTCTTAGGTGTCACTGCCTGTTGGTTTTCAATGCGATACACTGAATGAATAAAGAACTTTTTCTGGATCCATGTGCCCCAATTCTCGAAAATCTCATCATATGTCACCCTGAGTAAAGGACTATGCTGGCTACTGAAGTGAAGAAAGGATTCAACCTTGCAAGTCTGGGAAAGTTGTTTTTCTGCCAAATGTCTACAATCAGCTGAAAACACAATGAAAAAGAGAGTTCCTCTGCTATTACTAAACTGACCAAGGACCCTAACACCACATTTCCGATTCAACGTTGTGTTTCTGCAGTGTACCAAGAAACATAATGTCCAAACCTTAGCCCGACAGAAGTATGTAAGACATGTTGCTGCACCGAATAGCACCAATAGCTAAGCCACTAGCATCACTGAGCATGAAATTTCACTACACAAGCTTTTAACGCTATTTTGTCGTCTTGTGCTTTCGCGCAGATCTCTCTAAGCTTCACTGGTTGGCTAATGAAAAAATTCGCCTTACAATGGTGGCACTGCAAAGAATACATTTATCTCACATAAGGGGATTGTCTCGCGGACAAATAGAAAAACAAAACGAGGAGTGTGAGCAACAAAGTGGCACTGCTGCAATGGAGCACTTTGCAGGGTCAAGGTGTAAAGCGCTCGGCACAGGACACGAGTAAATCATGAAATGAAAGCAGGTTGCAATATTAGAGCATGGCACGATTACTTAGCACATTGGCCACCCAATGTGTTGTGAATGTTGTTGTCGAGATGCTCTGAGCAAGTGGTGTATGATGGTCAAAAAGAGGGTTCACGCATGCTGTGATATAATAATTGAGAATCAGTTATTGAGAGTAAAAAAACAGTGCCATTTGTGGCTTGCTCGTGTCCCGCGTACAGCTTTGTAACCATGAGCCAAACACTCCGTAGACATGCAGGATAGAGTGCATTTAGTTTTGCCACAGGGGAATAAGTAAAACCTTGGAAAAACAATCACCATGTGGAAAGAGGGGCACTCACTTGGGCAAGGTGCTGATGGTGCTGCCCTGGCACTCACTGTCAGTCGCCAGCTTCTGCATGGTGTCCACCAGAAAAGAGAACACCTTGGCATTCTCTGAATGGAAGGTGCTCTCTGCCGTGAAGAATGTCTGCAGGTTGGACACCAGGAACGGGATGCGGCTGCGCAAGCACCACACAAGAAAGAATGTTCTACAAAACCCCATGCGCCACAAAACTGCTGAAAGAGTGAGTATGAAATTCCCGAGGATTTGAATCTGCTTTGCCGCTAGTAAGTATCAAGAGCCATGCTTGGCCAAAGAACCCCATGAATAATGATGAGCAAAATGCAATAACCGCACGTTACTGGCAATGTTACTAGTGTTAATAATGGCAATGCTACCGAAGCGATCTGAACAGGACATGAACAGTGATACTGTTACACAGCTGTAAATGGGCCTAAAATATCAGGCCCGGAAGCGGGTTAAAACTCGAAAATATTAAAATCATGGCGGTGGCGTGAAACGCGTGGAGCTGGAATAAATGACAGTGTTGGTGGTGGGGGCCGCCGCAGCCGCGACTTGTGTACAGAGGTCGAGCTACGGATCACCTCGAAATATGAGGCGAAAACTATGCACATCTTTTAAAAATGTAAAAAGTAATTAAAGTTTAAAAAGTGAATCCCTACTGATGAGCCTGACAAGATGTAGTCGGAGCTGCTGTCGGTAGGGCAATAAAAAGCGTTTTTTTTTCTTAGAGCATCTAAATCACTACACTGAACTAGGAGATGGAGAAGCGTAAGTGGATCTCCACACCTCTCACAGATGGGTTGGTCACCACCAGACAAAAGGCTTGAATGTGTAGAGTGCGTGTGTCCTATCTGTAGCCTTGTAAGTGTTACTTGTGTATAGTGTGATATGAATACTGGTAGCCAATTTCCAAATATAGGTTTAATAATGTGTAGTTTGTTTTCTGTTTGCCTATCCCATGCCAGCTTGCCCTGAGCTCCCTTTGTGGGAAAGGTTTCACGTAAAATGCAGGAGCAGCCATGGGTATACTGGCGGGTGCGTGGTCGAGGCCAGTCGCAGCTAGCTGGTCCGCCACCACGTTTACAGCGATCTCACAGTGCCCTGGTAACCAGCACACAACTACATGCCGTTTGAGGGCGTAGATCGTGCATAAAAGAGAGTAAAGCGACAAAATGACAGAATTTTTGTTTTTTGAGTGTTTTCAAAGCTGTTATGATGCTCAGCGAATCTGTGTATTGTTGTAGTTGCAATTCCTCAATATGCCTGACAGCCACTGATATCGCAAGGGCTTCTGCAGTGAAGACGCTTGTTTCGAGGTGCAGCATACCGAAATTTGGAAAAGATGGGCAAACAGCTGCATAGGACACACCAGTGAGAGGCTTTGATGCATTCGTAAAGAATTCTGGGCATGTGTACTTGTGTTGGATTTCGAGGAAGTGCATGTGGATATGTGTAGTATGTGCCTGTTTAATTATTTCCACAAAATATATGTTGCACTCTATAACCTAACACTGGCACGGTGCCGGATATGCTGTGGGAGCCATCAAATGGTATTCTAGTCGTGGCATGCCTGTTACCTCAGCGAGGCTCCTCATATGGAATGAGTAGGGCTGTTTCAGCGAAGGACGGTTGTTTAAACACGTAGCATTGGACAAATTATTGATTGTGGAGTGAGTGAAATGTTTTTCGTCTGCATTCACCTTGAGATAGCATGTAAAAGACACATAACATCTCTGCAGATGAAGCAATCATTAATTTGATTCTGTGTACAGGCTTTCTATGGAGCTAGTTTGAAAAGCACCCGTAGAAAGACGGATACCTAGATGGTTGACAAGGTCAAGCATCTTTAAAGCTGATGATGCCACAGACAGGTAGGTAATAGCACCGTAACCTAGGCGTGTGCATACGAGGCATCTTTACAAATTCATCAGGCATTCCCTGTAACTACCCCACGTAGTTCATGGCATTTCAAAACATCCGTTGTTTTTAGGCACCTGGTCTTTAAATACCTTAAGTGGGGTATGAAGGTTGATCTTCTGTCTAGTATTAAACCCAGGAATGTATGCTCAGTCTGTACAGACAGATCTTCACCATGCAGGATGAGCACCTTTCCTTCGGCAGAACAAGACAGAAGTGCTCTTTTGCACATTTAGTTTAAGACCATTTTCATCTGCCCATTGAGAAACCTTGTTTGAACCTAATTGAACCTGTCGTTCACATACTGAGAGGTTGCACGATTTAAAAGCGACCTGTACATCATCGACATATGTGCAGTAAAACATACTGCGTGGAATAGTGAGGTGCGAAGAGTTCATTTTGAGTGTGAAAAGTGTACAACTCAATACTCCTCTTTGTGGCACTCCTGTTTCTTAGACAAATGTTAGCGACAAAACAGTGCCTAATCGAACACGAAATGTCTGACTGGTGAAGTAGCTTTTGGTTATGCTTAACATTCTACCATATACATTGAAACATGAAAGGTGTCTCAGTATGCTAAAGCGCCACGTGGTATCATAGGCCTTCTCAATATAGAAGAACACAGAAGAAAAAAATAGCTTATGAGTGAAGGCATCACAAATTTGTGCCTTGATACGGACAAGCTGGTCAGTGCTGGACCTAGCCTCTCAAAACCCGCACTGGTATGGATCAAGTAGGCCATTAGTTTCAAGAAAGTGCGTGAACGTAATGATAAAAGCTCGTTTTGTTTTTCTGCTGTAATGATTGGGAGCGTGATCGGCCCCAACAAAAGACAAGGCTGCTTGCAGGTTCATGAAGAACACTTTATGAAAAACGTGGATAAAGTAGCACATACACACAGAAAACAAAGCAAACAGCAAAAGCAGAGGCCTAGCGACAAAAGTTTCTAAGGAGCGAATCGTCCTTGCAACAGTCTATCTCGGCGGATGGAGGCTCACCCTCCAGACAGATAAACAGGCCGGACGATGCGAGTTGAAGAGTGACGCGGGATGGCTTCAGAAAGTTCGGCAACGCCTTGTGCGAAGAGAGGAAGAACGTCTTGCCCCAGTGAAGCGTCGGAGGCGGAGGACCTCAGCAGCCACATGAAGCCCGTAGCACCAACTCGTTGATTGCGTCTCAGAGCATCAACACGCGGCTCCTACATGCTCATCCTACATGCTCCTACGGCTCCTACATGCTCATACCACGTATCCAGCGCGGCAAGTATGTCGTCTGTATAGTGTTGCACCCCATTCATATCACGGAGCAATATCCTCATCAATTGTGCAAATAAATACCCCTCATGCCATTGTGATGCAAAATGGCATAAACTTGAACTGGTAGAGCCCAGACTGCGTACTAAAAGCAGTTTTCGCCTTGAATTCCCTTGGTAGAGGTACCTGCCAGTATCCTTTTGATGTATTTAACTTGGAAAAGAATTTCTTGTTTCCAACTTCGGCAAGAACTAAGTCAGTCTGCGACGTGGGCTCATCGTCGGATTTAAGTATGCTGTTAATCTTGCGAAAATCAATGCAGACCCTGAATGAGTTGTCTGGCATTTTAACAACCACCAATGATGAACTGTATGATGTTGACCTTTCAAAAAATTCCTATTTTAAGCATCTCTTCCACTTCCTTCTTGGCTTTGATTGTAAACGGAAAAGGATAATGTTACACTTGGATGAGCATCGTGAAAGTCAACTTCAGGTAACACTCGACAAGGCTTGTTTTCCCGGAAATGCCGGGAAAAATGCCTCTATATACTTCAATGAGGGTTTCGGTATCTTGCTGCTGGGATGATGAAACGGACTCAGCAATTGTAATTTCACAGCATTAGAAGGCTGGACATTAAAGTAGGGTCTCTCCAGCATACAGTCATCTTCTACTGCGATGAAAGCACAGTTTAGGTCACTTTTTCTTTCCGAGGTGCGTTCGTGATACTTCTTCAACTTGTTTACATCGAACAGCTTGACCTTATCGCCTATTTATATATAGCATAAAATATACCTCATTCTTTTTGCAAACCACAAGAAGAGGCCCCTTCCATTCGAGAAGCAGCTTGTTCTCTGTAGTCGGCAAGAGAAGAAGCGGTTTGTCTTCCACTTTCAGGTCCCGCTTCTTCGCTCTCTAGTTGAAGTAACTCCGCTGGCATTCCTTAGCAAGCAGTGGCCAGCTTCTCATCAGCCAAAAGCACAGTCTCTTCAAGTTGGTCTCGCAGGTCAATGACGTACTGGTATGTTGTTTTCATGTCGTCCCGTATGTCTTCGCTAGTCCATAGCTCCTTCTGTATTGATAACAGACCCCGTACATATTGTCCATATATAAGCCCGAGCTTGCCTGAAGTACCTCTCTATATGTGAAAAGCAGGGGGGGGGGATAAGTATCGCTCCTATGATTTTGGTTTCTCATGGCAAAGCTTGCAAAGCATCTGTTTCAGAGTACCACTGAAGTGTTCCACCATACCATTGCACATAGGGTGGTAAGGAGTTGTCATCATCTTGGCCAAAACAAGCGCGGCGACTTGCTACATGAGGTCTCATGTGAAGTGTGAGCCTTTGTCCATTAGAAGTTTCTTTGGGATCCCAACCCGAGAAAATAATTCATGAAAACCCTCTGCGACTGTGGCTGCATCGAGTTATGGTATCCTCACAGCATCCGGGTATCTGGTGGCAAAGTCCACTACCACCAGAATATATCTGTTTTCTTTAGTTGATATAGGCATAAGGGGTCCTATCACATTGACACCCACTCGTTCGAATGGGTGTTGATTACTGTCATTTGGCCTAACCTTGCTTTTCCAACTTTTCCTTTCAGTGCTACCCTTCAGCCAATATCACAGGATCGCACAAAGCGTTTCACATTCGCTTGAATTCACGGCCAGAAGAAAGCTTTTCGCAGGCGGTCTATGGTACGCTTTACTCCTTGATGTCCAGTCATAGGACTATCATGGGCGACACGGAGGACATAACCTTGCACAGTTTGAGGAAGAACAACTTGGTTCAATCTTTTGCCGGTAGGAAGCTCATATCCTCGGTATATTAGTCCCCGCTTTACCAGGAATGTCTCTTGACAATTGCTCCGAGTCAATCGAGTCTTTTAAACTAAATCGAAGCACACACACGAAGAGACTGATCGTCATGTTGAGTGACCTGCAAGCTTTCTTTAGTGACAGAGAACTTTGAAGCTGGCGTTATCGCA